CACCTTATGTGAGGATTACGGTAGGTTTACGGTACTATAGGAAAAATTTTAGAATGCATCAGATTTTGCTGAAACTTGGCCTATAGGGCTTATTTGACATGCTGATCACAAAAATGAGATCCGTTTCGCATGAAAAGGCCTCGTTCGTGAGATCAAAAGATGAATTTCATTTTAGCGACAAATGATTATGATATTCGTGTTTACCGCATAGGATTACCCTATAGTGCAAAGTTATAGCGAATTCTGACTTTTCGCAGCTTAGTTGTTGACAAATTGCCTTCAAAACTTGACGCATTTGACTTGTTCAACTTCTCAAAGGCGCCCCACCTTAATTTGCGTTTAAATTTCATTTCTTTTTCACTGATTCCGATGTGCCCACTTCCAGCTACATGCTGCCTATAATTGCTTTTTCTTATGTTTGAATCAGGTTTCGTGAGGCTTCATGTTTGCCAAAAAATCGTGAAACCTCGATTTTCAGCAGTTTTCAAAAAATGCTTAGATTTTTTGTACTAGGTTATCAAAAATCAAACGGTTTGCGCAGACTTGCAGCTTACATCACGTTCTACATGATGCCACAAAATGAGACTGCTACATAAAGTAGGAAAAAAGTTGCGGGAAAAGTTGCACAACTTATGTGCCAACCTAATAAATAATCGCTAAGTTTTTCTGCGTACCGCTTGCTGGCCTTATGTTCTTCTATCCGCGAGAGATAAAAATTCGGACTTTTATGAGAGTCACTAGTTGTATACTTCCATATTTACAGGGTGTCCCAAAAGTATGTATGCACTATTTGGTTTATATTTCTCTTCCCAAAAAGTCTTTTGACTACCTGCAGATAGCATTTTGTAAAGCTTGCTTCAACTTAGATTTACATTACTGAGCGGGCTACCGATCGCCCTTCGTTACTGTAGGATTACGGTGGGAACTTTCGGCCTACAGCGTCATTGTGATTAATCGTGTTTCAAAAAAGTTTTCAGAAAATCTGAAAAGTGGCGTAAGGGATTTAACGTGTGCGCTGATTCCATTACGAACTTTTTAGGAGTGTGTAAAGCTTTTCAAATGGACCCAATTTTAGGAAGCCTTGTAAAGACAGCTATTGCGGTTCACCTGGCACAAGTTATGAAGAGACCCTTGCGGCAAAGTTCACTTTTGGTTTTGCCGACTTTAATTAGCCTAGTGTAAGAAATTCGAGGTTCTTTGGTTTGTTTTTCGAAGCAAAATATGACCCTCAATGGCATAAAAAAATTCTTGAAGCTTCTACCGTAATCATACAGTAACGGAGAGAGAGCGGTGATTCGCTCCACGCCGTAAATCTAAGTTGAAGCCAGTTCTACAAAATGACACCTAAAGGTGGTCAGAAGACTTCCAGAAAAGAGGGATGATAGCCATCAAACATGCATACATACTTATGGGACACCCTGTATGATAGATGAATTTAGCTGGCTTAAGGGCCGGGCATACTTCACGCGATTTCAGTCGCGACGCGATTTGGCAATTTGCCAGAAGTCTTCAGATCCAACACTAGCAAACTGCACATGCATAGTGTGCATAACCTACGTGTATTGCTAAATTGCACGATCTTCTGTACAATTAAAATGTGCTTGCAGTAAGTTATGGACAGTTGGAAATTTGCCAAATCGCGTCGCGACTGAAATCACGTGAAGTATGCCCGGTCCTGCAGAGAAAACGGACTAAGAATGAAACTGATAAATGAGCAAAGTTTTAGAATGACTGCAAGAAAGCCTACGACCAGGGCACGTGGTGCTGTTGTAGCACAGATCTCTGCAATGGAGCCATAGAACCAACATCCACTATGCTCATCGGTCTTGTGGCAATTATCACGCTGCTGCTGATTTGATGCAAAAACAACATGAATTTTGAGAATAATTGAGCACAGTGATGGAGTTCATTAGCTGTCTGTGGTATACTCTCCCGGCTACTGAGTAGGAGTGGAATTGCGAATGAACTGTTGCTTTTCAATCCATATCACTAAAATATCTACAAACTGTCACATTTTCGCTTACTAATAGCTGTTAAACAACAGTACAAACAGCTGTCTCGCTTATTGTATATAGTTTTCCTGTGATTTATGTACTCTGAAAAAGTGTGGTTTTCTCCTTGCGAACTATTCAAGATTCTTTGAGTGCGAATTTCCTTCTGAAGTTTTGCTTGTATGGAGCTCTTTACTGTTGTTTATCCATCTTGTTAATCTTTGTCTTGGCTTCTTTGAATTTATCTTGCTATCATATAAAACATCGAAATAAATGTTTCAATTTCATTGATATAATTCACATATGCCGCGTTGAAATGGCAGCACAATCGAGCGCACTGTATAAAAAGGTCTTCAATGTCATAGCCGACGCAGCTGGCAGGCTGGACAATGTTTTGCCGAGTTGGCGCATCCTCTGCAAAAACCTCAGAGAAATAGATAGAAATTAAACCTTAAAGGAAGTGTACCACCAATTAGGGTCTTGGGATTTTTGCGACTCAGCACTCTTTTCGACCCAAATAAACCTCTACGGGTTCGAAAGCGCACGAAAATCATGAAAGCCCTGTTCGACGGCGTAGAAACAACGCGGACGACCTGTCTCGCTCTACTCCAGCATTTGCTGCATGATCAGAGAAGAAGAAGTTGCTGTAATTTGTTCAAATGCGAAGAGGGTGCGGAAAGTCGTCCAGCGCGAGCCAGGTCGCGCCTTTGCGAGCCATTCTTAGTTTCCTTGACGTAGACGAGGCCGCTTCGAATGAATTTGAGCAGTAACCTAGTAAGATGGTTACAGTACTTTCATAAAAAAAGCAGGGTAACTGTAACATACTGTCATTCAATCGGCGTCTATCTGCAATGCTCTGCATACTCCAGGAGTTCATGAGAATCCTACGCGTGCAATTTCACGATCCGCACTTGCTAAACAATTTTTGACGGAACTGCAAGCCATGGTTAAATTCTGAGGCTCAAATAATCCTCATGCAATAGTCGCCATGCAATTCCCATAATTCTTAACCATATTAAACTCCCCACCTTCATGCCTCAGGGACTCCCACACCTCACTCTTGATTCTGTAGTTCTTATGGTTCGAAAAGATTCTTTTTGCATAACACACAGAAGCAACAAGACTGAGGGGTTCTTTTTTCTCAGTCTGTATTTCTTTGAACTGTAAAATTCAAAGATGTGTCTCCCCGTCAGCGAAGTATAAGCAAAAGCAGGTAATTCGCTTCTCTAAGCGAATTACCTGCTTTTGTCTACTCTGTCTATTCGCTTAGAGAAGCGAATTACCTGCTTTTGTCTACTCGTTCTTTTCATTCAATCTGTCGCGTTGATATTGCCCTAGCGCTCGAATACTTTGAAATCGCATAGGTTGTTGCAAAGTTTTCGTGGCTGCGTGATGAAAAATCATGCAAAATCCCTTATAGAAAAAAGAACAAATTTGCAGAATAGACTACATTTTCAAAGCGAGAAATTGAAATGGCGCGGGATCTACCTGACCTCCTATATCGGTCACAGACCAGTAGCAAACCCTTCTTTCGAGGAAGTCAGCCTACTCAAACTGAGCGCCTCCCTCAAAAAATAAACTTCGCAAGTCCTTATGATCACCCAACTCCCCATGCTTTGAGATAGCAAATTCAACAGTTAAAAGACAGTCCGATCAAGTGCAGCGGTCACTTTACCGTCTGGCCGCAAGTTGAAGGTAGGTTTCATGTTGATTTGACAAGATAGTATGCAAAAAGTGGAGAACTAGACAAAAATAGCGTAAGTTGCTCATGATAACTTGAGAGACGTAAAATGCAGTAATGCCACGGACGACAAGTGCGCAAAGCTACATTTTCATAGGTATGCGATAGAAAGAGTGTCAATAAACAGCTGATTCAAGCCAGAAAATAAGGCAATAAGCTTTTCCCTCCTTTTGCAAAGGTTGCTTTGATTTTCGAAAAATTTGGCACCGAGCTCTTAGTATTAGAATTCACTGTTTTATTTCTTCTCGACATGCGTGATTTTCTATATATTAGGTCGGCTCATAAGTAATGCAACTTTTTATATAACTTGTTTTTGTTTTGCTGTTTTTGTTTTTTTGTTTTTTATATAACGTGTTTTTGAACGTATTCAAATTCATTTTCTGGGAGTATATGATGTAAACTGCAAATGCGGACAATTTTTCTTGCCATCCTATGTGGGGGTCACGATAGGTTTAAGGTCAAATTGTAGATGAAAATTTTGGGATTGCGTCAGATTTTGCTCAAACTTGGCCTATGACGGTTATTAGACATGCTAAAGATTAAAAAAATGAGACGTGTTTTTCATAAAGAGGCCTCCTTTGTGAAGTCTCAGAAAATAAATATTATCTCGGCGATAAAAAAATATGATATTCGTATTCACTGTATTGAATCATCCTATTGTGCAAAGAACTAGTGAATTCTGAGGTTTTGCAGCTTAGTTATTGACAAAATGAATACGAAACCTGACCTTTTGCCTTGTTCTACTTCTTAAAGGCTCCTTATCTTAGTTTGCCTTTGAATTTCACTTTTTTAACTGATTCTGATGTGTCCACTTCTAGCTACATGCTGCCTATGATTCCCTTATGATATGTTTGATTCAGGTTTTCACGAATTCATGTTTGCCAAAAAGCCGTGAAACCTCGATTTTCAAGGATTTTCAGAAAACGCTTAAATTTTTTCTTCTTTTCATCATAAATCAAACAGTTTGCGCAGGCTTGCAGCTTACGTCACACTCTACACGATGCCATAAAACGAGGGTGCTAGATTTATCAAGAAGAAAGTTATGGGGAAGGCTGCAAAATTTATGTGCCAACCTAATATGCTGAAATATTTTGATTTTGTTCAATCTCTCTGTTTTCTAGGCAAAATCTTCTTCATCATCGATAGTTATCGATATCAAAGACGCCTTGGCTGTAGCAAAAATGGTGCCACCAAGCGTGGCGAACTATGACCCTGTTGTGAATGTCTGCAGAAATATTAAGGCTGTTCCTTTGAAGGCGCTAGCTTACATGTTCATAGCGGACCGCACCAAGGTCGACGGCATTGTTAATACTAAGCTGGGTTGCGGTAAGTTCGAATTAGACCTGAGTCAGCCAAATTGCGATGACGGGAGGTTGCTATGTCCCATTGTCCACGCTCTAGGTGTACCCAGCAGTTTGTGTAGCGCTTTCTTGTGTTGGTAATAAAGGCCATTTTAATTAGGTTGCAAATTAGCACAGTGTCGATCTTATCGACATTAAAAGTAATTATTATCTTATATATAAAGCTGAATGTCTGTATGTCTGTATGTCTGTCTGTCTGTACGTATGTGCGGAATGGAAATTTTTATTTTTGAACCGATTTGGACCAAACTTGGCACACATATACTTCGGGGCAGTCGTTATCGATCGATATCGATTTTATCGATTTTTTGCAAAATTTGAGCTAGGGGGCTAGGATTTTGCACAGGGGGTAATCGAGCATGCTGATCAACCCCTCCGGGGTGACAAGTGGACTATGACACGCTCCCTGCCCCGAAGTATATGTGTGCAAAGTTTGGTCCCGGGCGGAGCCGGGTTTGCCATCTAGTATGTACATAAGAGACAATACGATCACCTTACAATCAACGAATACAATGAGTGTCGTTATGGAAAGTTCATTCTTGCCTCACCCAAGTTCTTTAATCTACTTCAGTGTTGTCCTTTCAGTATTTCCGCTATCAAATACGCATTCAACACAACTCAAAACTATATGCTCATGTAATTTTGATGAAATAAGGCTTTATCTTTGCTTGTCATTTACGTAATCACTAGATCTCTATTTGAAATAGCTTTTTTTATATTTTTTGATTTTCGGATTGTTCCACATTAAAACTGTTCGTGATTAGCACGACTTTCGCTCAGTTAGAATAAAGGCCACAAAACTTATGTTGATGACCGTTTCGGTCTCTGCTGTGACGTTTTTAGGCTTTTTGAGCATACTCAAAAACTGTAAAACTAAAGACATTCTTTCTATTTCCTTCTAACTCTCGATCTTTTCCGTTTCAATTCATGGGAAAGGTATTACAGCAATGAGCGCTGTTTTCCCAATTATACAAAAATACCTCCAAGATTTTTTGATAAAGCGTTGCTTTCTTTTTTTGCTTTAGTCAAGCAGATATTCTGAGTTTTGCTGCATTTGTTGACCAATGTTAACGGCATCAGAAAGAGATCGGTATTTTGTTGTTTCCAGACACAAGAAGGTTGATTACACTCGTCCACGAGACCCTGCTTCCTTGTTTAGTAGTACTTTCTCGAGTAAATTCATGAAAATTATGCCAGTGATTATCTTCCAGCTAAAAAACTTTTTTATTTTTGATCTTTGCTAGAATCAAAAGGAAATTTTTGTGCACTGAATATTTGTTGCCATTTGCAGGTGCAAAACTCGAGTAGCTCTGTACAGATATTTACTTGAATGCTTCACTCGCCATATGGCACTTCTTCAGCATGTCGTGATCGCTTTGGCCTCGATATGCTTGACTTGGGCTATCCACTGTTATGAAGGTATGTAATTTTATCAGCTATAAAACAATTTTTCATAAATTGTAAACATAAGCGACATGATCTTGTTCGTAAAACTAACAATGAAATTTTATGGTCTTAACCCTATAAATTAGTCACGCACAGTTGTAATCTATACAACATTCCTATTAAAGTTTAAAAAAAGGCTGTTGAGTTCTTTTGAAAACTGCTCGAATTATAGCGGCAGTCGATTTTCTAAAATAGTCAAATGATACAGCAAAAGGCTTTGTTACAAATACAGCTTCAGCGCATAACATAGTTAGTGACACAATGACTTTATACCCATCTTAAAACATATGGTTTAAGCTTCCATGTGTTCACCACGTCTTGGAACCTCGGCATCTTTGACTGGAGGTTGATGTTCTGGTGTTTCTTATGGCTGGGTTCATACTGATTCCCATGTTCTGGAACTGTTCCCGCACAGTTCCAGCACAGTGCGAGAACTGTGCGGGAACAGTTCCAGAACATGGGAATCAGTATGAACCCAGCCTATGCCGCACAAGTTGTACGTATTGTGGGACTGCGATCCTTTTCAGACCTCCGACGAAGACGAGATGTTCGACACGTTAGGTTAATAAGTTTACACCATACCGACCGATGCGGCATAAGAAATATTAGAACATTGCTGGTTTAAGCCTTCTGAACAACTACGATTCGCAAACCTAAGCTTTTAAGCACCAACGAGCTTGGGCTTGTTTTGAAACCAGCTCGACGCAGTGATTCAAGTAACCATCTCAAATAATTAGTTTTGAGCATTTCGACCATTAGGAATATCGAGCTTTCATGGCATTAACAAATCATGCTTGAAACATCTATATCTTCTCGCCCACTGAGCTTTTTACTCTCTGAGTCTCGTTGAAGGGTAAAGCAAATGCAAAACCCTTTCCGAAAGACTAACAAACACATTAGGTTGCCGTAAAAGTAAACTTCTGTTCTAAACAATCCAAGCTGCTTTTGTTTTTTTAGGAGACCTAAAATATCATTCAATAAAACAGGTCAAGCTCTACAAAATGATCACTAAGGATCTTTCTAAGTTCGCAATCTCCGTAAAGTTTGAAGCCAAACTGAGAAAAATTTTGCCACCTGAAAACTGGATTTTTGCAAGAAAAAATCCTACGCACTTCTAACTCGGTCATCATACAGTAGACAAATAGTACTTCTCAAATATACCTTTAATGAATTTTTTCCGCGCATAAAAAGCGAAAAAAAAAGATAGTCCACCATGGCAAACTCCGCCCTCAACAACTCCCACACATGCCATTGTACACTACAAGCCTTACCAATTTTCAAAACTCTACCCCTGCCCCTGTAGATGCTTTTATAATTGAGAAATTCCAAATTTTAAATGAAAAACCAAAAAAACGTGGCAATTTGGCATTTTCGGACCATCTTTGTCTCCCAATTTTAGCCCCTGAAAGTATCCACCAAGTATGCTATCGGGAAATACTATGCGCATGCTATATAAAGACCAAGCTGGAAGTCCGTAGGAATTTCTAAAAGGTGATCCGACTTTTAAGGTAGCTGGAAAATTTTGGTGTTTGTTCTCAAGTTTACCTGGATTACAAATTAGGTGGATCTTTAGTGGTCTTTTTATAAAGCTTGCTCCTCTCTATCGAATGGTACCCTAAGTCTGGCCCGTAGTACACCACCTCTCAGCGCAACTCGGCTGGGGGCGGGCCTTCGTTGAACATAGAACGACTCAGTCCGCCATCCGGTGAGCTGTCGATCCGGATTCGGATCGCTTGCTACAACTAGAGATCTTGTGCAATCTCAAAAACCAAACCACTATAGCGGTTTGGTCGAACGGCTAAGTGAATGGGTTTTAACACGAAAGTCCATAGTTCAAAGCCGGCTAGTGGCACATTTTTGCGCCACCACAGGACAATCTTTGATAGCGGCCGTTACCGAGAAAAATCGAGGGCGACCGCTATCAAGGATATCGCCAAGCAAACAAATGGATAAAACAAAACAATCGTATTTTAACGAAATATCAGGTTAAAACGAAAATGTTGGAACCTAAAACAAATGAAAAAAATCAAGAAATCGTTGTTTAAAGCAGTTTGAAAGAGAAACGTAAGCGAGCCCTGAGAAAAGAAGAAATCCTGCTTTTTTGCTTTCTCTCTCTGCTAGCAGCTGTTCATTGGTCCTCTCCCATTTAGGTTGCCGGAATTGTGCAATTTTGGGAATTTTGCACCGCAGTGGTACGTCAGCTGAATTCTCCCGTAAGTTACTCAAGAGCAACTTACGGGGAAATTTGTCTGATCCTCCTCTTAAGCACACTATCTCTCTCGGGTCACCCGAAAATTCAGCTTCGTAAGTGGCATTCTGGTGAACTGACTGTGATACTTGACCGGACAGTCTTCTGACTGTTGAACTGACTATCCTAAAGCACGGGACGGTGGGCGGGATTAGGTTCACTTGAGGAAGTTCTTTTGATTGATTAATCTCAAGTCACCTGAGATGAATGGAGGTTTACTACGGGCCTCTTAGGAATACAAAAACAGTTTAATTCATTAGAGATGGAGTTTACTTTTGGGACAACCTCATAATTCAAAAATGATCTTTGACATAAAAGCATTATTGATGAGGTCGAGTTAAATCCTCTACTTACCATTTTCAGCGGACCATGGGGAAAACAAAGTTGTTAAAACATGTCCTGAGGGAAACCACTGCACGAAGTAAGTTTCCATTGTAAGGAAAACATCAGGAAAACATATTTTTTAGCCTCACAGAATACAACAATTCGTCCACACTGCACTACTATAGTTGCGCTGAAGAGCCATGCACGGTAAGTTGTTGTATACATTGGGGTGGGGGAACGAAAGCCGCCAGTTTGGGTCGCCTCGGCGGACTGCTGGTCCTGGAACGATATGCAACAACACTGCGAAAGGACCAGTTGGCCGCGAAAGGCGGCTCAAACTGGCGGCTTTCGTTCCCCTACCCTATACATTGGGTAGAAGACCGAAATATTGATTCAACGAGGTTGGCGGCTGGAAGGAGACCGCTCGCGCCGTAACGTAGTCTGTGTCTCCTTCGCCAACTTGCTCTCTGATAATTGTCTGGTCTTAATTAGGTCACAAGCCCGCCTTCCAGCCGCCAATCCAGTTGAATCAAAGGGCAAGTATATTTGGGTGTACTTTTGATGTGTTGCTGTGGGATTTACGATATACAGAAGTCTGGATGCTTGCGCCTTTCAGGATGGATGCAATGAAATCAGCGATATGGCGACATTTTGTTGTTGTAGTACAGATCTTTGCAATGGAGCCATGGAATTGACCTTCAATATGCCAGCTCTTCTTACGATTTCAGTGATTCTCTTGAATTTGCTTTTCTAGAATTATCTCTGATCTTACTCTGATTGCATCGATATATGATTTATAGAGTTTGAAAATGCATTCTAAGTTATAAGCGAACAAAGCTTTGATCCGAGCGCATTCTTTGCCTGCGATCAAAATGTAAGTTATGCTGGCCCTTGTAAGCTGCACCATTCAAAACTGTGAAACCAAAATATATGGTTGACGCAGCAAAGCTCCTCGTACTTCTCAGCAGATACCACATAATTGACTTTAGTGTTGTTCTCGTAGTACCTAAATATGATAATTCGCCTTGTTACTAGGTTTTAACATAAGTCTTGTTGCACTCTAACTTCTTATGGCGATAAGTCATGCACTTCATATCATCAATAAACTCCAGAGCATTCGATAGAGCAAAGCAAGCTCCACAAATGTGTGCGAAACTTCGCACCAGCTTCGACTCACCGTAAGTTTGCACTCAGAATCATAGGTGCGATAGGGGGAGCCGGGCCCTCTCCAGGTGAAGGGGGTCTCTGCTACTCCCATCCTTGTAAGGTGAAGGGGGTAAGTGAGCCCTGAGAGCAAAATGTCCCAACAAATTACATACCATTCGAAAACTGAGGTCATATAGAATCGACATAGACCGTCGGCTTTTTCCAAGGTCTTTTGTGCCGCGAGATATGAGGGATTTTAGTATTTCATGTGTCAACTAATTTTGTGTTCTCACTTTCTGCTCTCCAAAAGAATGCTACGAGAAAGTCGACGGTCTACCTGCTAATGAAGACTTGCTCTGTAACGCAGATAGATAACCAGCAGATTAGGTCTTCGTTTGGCAGAAATTTGCTGTTGAAAATGAACATGATTTCAAGTAAAATGCAGTGTATCTCTCGATAAAGGGCGGCTAGAAAGAATTCGACGGTCTACGTCGAGTCCCCTTTTCTTGAGCTTTCGAATGGTATATAGACTGCTGAGCGAAAAAACTTGCCAGTTTTCAAAAATGGTGTGGAGGTATTTACTATTAGCTTGCTCCACCCAGCTCCCCCAATATATTGGCTTTTATCGGTCACCAGAGCAAGTGCTTTTTAGAGCCGAGAAGCAGAAAAGCCCTAACATGCTTCACATTGTTCGAAAGCTGAGATTATGGAGAATCGACGTAGACCGTCTCTTTTTTCATAGCTTCTCTGTAGAGCGATATACGAGCGATTTTATACGCCTACTCACCAGCTAATTTTGTGTAATTATTTTGTAATTTATTTTTGAAAGAAAGAACAAAGATTAAAAAAAAGAGACGGTCTACGTTTATTGGCAAGGTCTTGCTCTGTGATGCAGTCAGAAAATCAGGCACCTTTATCCATTCTTCACGCAGAAATTTCTCGACAAAAACACACATCTTTTTGGCTAAAATCCCGTGTAACTCTAAGTAGAGGGGAGCTAGAGAAAAAGAGACGGTCTGCGTCCAATCCTTTTTTTGTGGGCTTTCTAATGGTGTACAGATTGTAGGTGAAAAAACTTGTGGTTTCTTACAAATGAGGTGGAGATATTCAATAGTAACTTGCTCCACCTCGCTCCGGCTTTCTATGGGTTGCCGGAGCAAGACTTTTTTGGACTGGGAAAGCTTTGTGCACCAACACCTTATACACCATTCGATAGCTAAGAACGCGAGGAATCGGCGTAGACCGTCTCTTTTTTCGTAGCTTCTCTGTGAAGCGAGATACGAGCAGTTTTATCTAGCATATCAGCCAATTTTGGATAATTATATTTTCCAACCAAGAAGGTCTTTATCGAACCTTTATATATGAATCGAAAGCATGAAAAACGAGCAATCTGGCTGTTGTTTTGTTTGTTATTATTTTCTCTGGTGAAAAGAGATATGGTATGATTTCTTATCAGTAAACATGCATCCATCGCTAATCGGTTCAGATTTTTCTTGCTCAACTCTTTTTTGCAAAGTATGTATTCATTGATACAATGTTAATTATTCAAAAAATCACCTTTTACTTTTTGATTACGTTTCGTTATCAACGCCCTTTGAGCGCGCAGAAGGTCTCAAGCATGCGTTTTTTAACGAAACGTTGTTGATTCGATACTCTCTTGCAGTCTTGATGTCTGAGGAGAAGAGCAGCTGGCGTTTCCTTTCCAAACAAAAATTCCGTTGTAATAGCTGTTTGCCTTGATTAGTTTCAACCTCAGGTGAAAGGGGTCAGCCAGATGCCGGCTCTAAAGTGAAGAGGGTCAGAGAAATTTCTCCACCTATCGCACCTATGCTCAGAATCAGTCATACTGAAGGCTCAGAAAAATAGGGGGAAAATTTATATCTTCGTCCAAAGAAATCCTACGGATCTCCAATTTGCTCACACAGGTTGCACGCCACATCAGACACTCATATGTGCCGTTCCTGTATTTTTTATCTCGAAATCGAGAAAACAAGAATTTTCATACTTATACAAAAACGAAGCTGCGGTGTTCTTATATATGTAATTGTAAAGTACAAGCCCTAAGTAAATTTTTAGCTTTCCACAGGCCCTGATTTTGACAAATAATGATTTTAGCATGGAACACGAGTGAGGAGAGCTAAATTCGGTAATTTTTAAAAACTAGGGCCTGTGGAAAGCTGAAAATTTACCGTTAGGACAAAAACATAAATTTTCTCTTATTTTTTTGAACAATCAGTACGACTCAGATTCTGGGTGCAAACTTACGGTGGGTCGAAACTGGTGCGAACTTTTGCCCATCCTTGTAGACTTGCTTTGCTCTATCGAATGGTGCCCTGGAGCTTTATCAATATTATGCATTGACATCGCAGTAAGAAGTTAATGCCCAGGACTTATGTTACAACCAAATATTATGAGCACAAGAACATTTGCAATAAGCAGAAGATAACTTCTTGCATTAGCTACCTATGTCTGACATACCAACAAAGTAGATTGGAAATTGTTCTGTGTATAGTTGATACCCCCTGAGTCCTACTGCGAGATTCTTGAGAGATTTCTGCTCTTGTAATTATTCTAAGCGTTTGAATAATGAATTCTTTAAATGAGCCTTGAGTTGATTGCTGACAGTTCAAATGTCGAACGAGAATGGGGGGGGGGGGAAGAGGAGGAGAAGAAGTGGTTTGAAGAATTTTTCAATGCTTAGGTTTAAAAAGTCATCAAACAGAGAATTTTCTGATGTAGGAAAGTTGCATGTCCCATCAGTCGATATTTCAATCAGAGCTTGAAACATATGAAACATCCCTTTTTCCCGCTATCCTAAATACTGAGAAATGAGGACTTTATTTGGCTACCTATCTGCTTATGTTGTGCAATCCCTTGGCGCTCTATCTCCGAAAGGAAGTGGAACTGAAAGAAAGGCAGTCTATACGGTTCACTGCCCTTCTCGCTCTGTGACACAAATTTCCTGAAAATATGCAGTCTCCATTCAAGATACCATTATGTCTTTAGAGGAGGGCAAGGGAAAAAGAGAGGAGTAAAATCTTCGGTTTCCTTTTTAATGTTTCCAGATAGTTACATGAATGAGCTGTAGCTCTTAGAAAATGGACATGGGGGTTCTTTTGAGTACGCTCCACCCCGCCTAATCAAGCTTGGCTTGTATGAGTCACCGGACCAATTTTTAGAGTAGAAAAGCTCCAGACAAGAGCAGGGTATATCGTCCAATAGCTCAAGACATGAGAAGCGACAAAAGTTGTAGACCATCTTTTTTTAACACTCCTTTCTAAAGCGGGATTCAAGGAATTTTATCCAGCCAGTGTATCAACTTTATTTAATGTTCCATTTTAGAAACCAAGAAGGTTTTTTATAATGCTTTGGGTTGTTTAAATGCTTCGAAAAAAAACCTAACGCACTCTTATTTTTTATTATGCTTCTATGCAAGGAGATATGGTCTAATCCTTGTCGGTCAACATCATCCCTATTGGCAACATCAGACTTCCCATTCCTGCCTAATTCTTTCCTGTGACAGTATGGCTCGTAGTGAGCCCATGCTCAGCTCAATCTAATTGAGCTGACCCGCACAGAAGAACCTCATAAGTAAACCTACGATCGCTCACCTCCCATGCTTTGAGATGGCAAGTTGAACAGTCAGAGGACTTCCGGTCAAATGGTGTAATCAGTTCAGCCTGCTGCCGGTAAGTTGAAGGTGAGTCGTAAGTTGAACTGACGAAATTAGTGCGCAAAAGCGGAGTCAAACGAAAGCCCCGCAAGCTCACGACTAACTTACTTATATAATGACTTAATGCCACGGATCGCACAAGTATGAGGCTGCCAGAAGGGATTGATAAACAGCTGATTGCAACCATGGAAAAGAAATAAGGTTTTTCTCTTTTTTTTTCTTGCAAAAAGTGCTTGTCCCAGGAAACCGCTTGAATGAGAAAAGCAAAACTTATCTTTTTAATTTTTGCAATAATGTGATTTCTGGTAAAGATTCTCGTCAAAATATTGTAAACTATTAGGCATATCCGGCTCCGCCCAGCCCTGTCAATACACCATGATGGAAATTAAATGCCCTAAATATTTCCGTAAAATATCTCCCTATCCCGGTCCCATCTCTACATGCCAGTAACCTGCATCCACTATGTATTCGTAATCAGCGTGCTCACTTATCCCCCTCTGCCAACTCCCAGCCTCGTAACTCAAAACTTGCCAAAAAAAACGATAAAATTGACAAAATCGATATCGATCGATAAGGAGAAGTAGCCTACAACATCTGCCCTGTTCCGAAGTGTGTGCAAATATGGTCCGGATCGATTCAGATTTCAGATTTCTATTTGGAATACGCGTACAGACTACAGATCAAAGTAATATCCAGCTTTGTATGTAATACATATATCTACTGTTAGGAAATATACCAGCAATGGGCCGGATTTTGGCCAAAAAGACGTTCAAAAGCGCATAGTGAAGAAAACTATTTTTTCCATAACTTATAAGCAAATGACAAATTGGTAACCAAAGAGAGTTATTAACGATCAAAAGTAGGCATATTTTTTGGGGCACTCTGTATTGAGCATTAAATTTCAATCAGTGTTTCATGGCAGAGCCAAACTTTTG